TGTTATTTATCGCTAAAGAGATCTCTCGTACGGAGCCGATCCTGGCAGCAGCATCAGGTCACGTTTATGATTAACATGCATTGTCATCCGTTCTGAACTAGCACGCAAAATTTCAGGTCAATCGGATATAATCACTTTATAAAAAAGGCCTGCGAGGGGTTTACCAATCGCCTTCAGATTTAATGAAACAGGGAAATGCAAAAATCCAGACTAGTAGGTCGCATGGAATGGATGTTGGTCTCTCATGACTCCACTAGGTTTTCTTTTGAACGGTTTAAATGATGAAATGTTGAAGTCAATAGATTTTTCCAAATGTTACACAGAAGACGAAAAACCTCCCGTTGATTCTGCTACGGGTAATGACTCAAGTAATAAGTGGAAGGTTATAGGATCGACAAATAATGGCATTAAGAGAGTCATAGTTACGACCTCACCGGGGGGCCTGGGGGGCCGGTTAGGCCCCCCAGACGCACCCTGGCGTTGGATGCGATCGGGTGTGGAGGGGTGGATTTTCGGGAAATCCTTGCGTGTACCGCCCCTCACCCCACACCAACAGAATTTCGCAGGGCTTCCTCACGCTCACCGAACCCGGAGTTGCCTCCTTACATCTACTTAGTGTGGCTAACCAAGAGACAGGACCATCGGCAGCGTTCGACCGAACGTTCGTACAAGTTAACTAAGCTCTTCTTTCGCCAGAGAGTGCTCGCGAAGCACACCTGCCCCCGCCAACCATGCCAAATCAATTGGGAATATGGTCCCGGAAGTGGCCGGTCGGGGTCCTAAGCTCGGATACTAGTAGGTCCGTCCAACCGGGGTCCGACACCTCAAGCGTCTGCCTTGGTGCCCTCCAAGACTAGACTCGGATACTAGAGCCCGGAAGGACCGCGATCCCCGACACCTCGAACGCTCGGATCCGTACAGAAGCAGGCGAGGATCACAGAACAGCATAAGCCGTCCAGTGCCTCGGTATGGGGCTGCAATGCACCCATGAATGGATTACCGCATCCCCGTATTTCTTTACCCGCTAGTGGAGCCGCTGCCCCTAAGAGGCCAACGCCAGTTGGAGATGAGGCTCGCTAGCCTCCAGCCGCGAGCAGGCACTCACCTCCCCCCTAGAACTCATGTTAGGAAAGTTCCCTTTCCAACGTTTGATAAGTAACCGCCGAGGACTCTTTCGGGCATCCTCTACCACACATCATATGTCGAAGATGTCGCGCCCATTACCCGTGTAGGTGCGGGATAGGGCGGTTCATCAACAACTTTTGGGTGTACGCCGTGTGGTCTGCACCGCATACCCTTACGTTACCCCGAGGGGCACTCATGTTAGGAAAGTTACCTTTCCAGCGTTGGATGAGTAACCGCCGAGGACTCTTGCGAGACACCTCTCCCACACATCTAGCTTGAAACCGGCCAACGCCTGTTACTCGCAGATGCGGGATTGGGTGGTTGACCGATAACTTTACTGGGTGAGTGCCGTGTGCTCTGCACCGGGGGACTGTCAAACACCCATAAGAGAGAGACAGTGATCCCCCGCCACTCACCCCGGCACATATGGTGCCGGAGATCACATTGATGAGACTATCCAGACTTTCGTCACGCTACTTCTCAACTTTGGGAAAGTTAAGACTGCCAGGGAAGCGCTTGGAGGTATTTGTCTACAAAAACAGATAAGAGGGGATGATTTCGACGAAAACTGATAGCTAGATCGAAGCGTTGGAGCAAGTAATACTCTGCAAACCTCCCGTTATTCTCATTTTGCATTTGAAGTTTTTTTATTACAGCTACGACAGTTGCAAGAAAATTGTCAAGGCTTTGGAATTTGTTGGAATTTGAATTCGACTCGAAAATGTATTCGATACTGGTTTCGTCGAAAACACAGTCTCCAGAAGAGGAGCAATACAAGCTATTGGTCGTCGTGTACCATGACGTCAAAGAGACCAACATGGGTCACTACGTAACCGATGCCTTCCACGTCGGCTACAGCTGTTGGTTGAAGTACGACGATTTCTCGGTCAAGACTATGCAGGAAGAACACTTGCTGAAGCCTCAGGAAACGCAAGTTCCTCATTTGTTGTTTTACAGGGGCAGAGATATGATCTGACCTGACCTAACAAAAATTTCAATACATTATCAAGGTAAGAAGAATTTGATGAAATAAACGTAGGGAACCTCAAAAAAGCTCGAGATAAATGAGCTGCAGATGAAATAGTAATAACAGACAAATATTATAAATTTGAGATTTTGCAATCTGATATGCCAACTCTGGATAAAATTCAATTATTTTCCAAAGCTAACTCGAGAACAGTTTGAACACGATTCATATCATCAATAGAATGTGAGACACAGCTAAGATATCATCAATCCAGAAGAGCAAATACACTGAATTATCACAACAAATACAGGGATCGTTTCTTGAACGTACAAAGGTCAAAGTTAAGACCATGAAATGTACCTGGAAAAAATTTCTTGAAGCCATCAAGGGGCTTCAAATAAACATCTCCATGGAGTTCATTGGCTAAGAATACCGGTAGGTAGATGCTTCTTTGAAAGCTAGCAGCACACAAGTATCTATTTCACGATATAAACACCAGGAGGTGGTTTAACATAATACCAAGTAGGATTTTCTTCAAGGAAGCGATTCTTTTTTCACATCGTCTCTTCACCCGTCACTCATTTCAACCGCTTCATGATATGAAGATCCGATGAGACACCAGATGACAAGGCAACATCATTTCACAGTAATCGCACCGATTTGGTTTTTATTTGGCTTTTTTATCAAGGTGTATGCAAACCTGGTGAAACTCTCATTAACGATTTCATCCACCCACCAGAAGGATCTAAAAATGTTGGGACTGTCAAGAAATTAATTTGTGACCTAAGAAATGATTTTTATCGTAATCAAGAAAATTAAAATCTTTTTCGTAATTGCTTACAACAAGTGTTTCTACAACGTTGATTTTAAAACTGGAAAACTACAACAATTCGCTTAAACTTTTCAGGGCTGATTCTTTGTGATTAGGATCTGGTACAAAGTATAATAGTTCTGAATAAGGGAGAGCGAAGAAAACGCGTCAGACACGAAAAATGACTCCCACAAAAACCACCACTCCACTGTCAACGACGACACAAATCACGAGGACATAATGAGTTCCTTTTTCGCGAAACTAACTTTTAATAAACAAAAAGAGAAGACGTTGCCAAACGAGCGACTCGCAGCAAATTTTAACATAATAAAGTGATACAGAACACAGCAATTTGAATAAAACGCCACACACGCGTTTCATTTTCACACAGAAAGCGGCGTGACCTACTATTCGAAAGGGAGGAATTAGAGAAACTAGAGAACGAAAAGAAAGGAGGACGACCGATTTTTAAGGGCGGTTTTGATATATTCGCCAAGGAATAGCGGTCCATTTGGAGGAGAGTTATGGCAGCGTCATTAGCAGCAGTGAATTTCGACGATCTCTCGTGGTATTAGGTTTTTTTCTCTGAACGACGGAGGTGGTGGGTCTGAGGTAGTTTTTCCTGCATTTTTATACTAGATGTACTGAGAAGTTCGTAGGCTAACGCACAGATGACGCTACTAGTATCGAATCCATATGATCGATCGAATACGTTTCTTTTCTCTTAATGTTGTTAAGTTATAGTACGTGTTTCAAGTGGTGCCCTGCTGCAGGCTAGTGCCAACGATTATAGACATACAGGATTGCTCACTTACATATATCGCCACGTTAAACAAGCGCCGAGCAGATGTGACGTAACACTGGTGACCCTTTTAGTAGCTGCCAATTAGGTTTCTGAAACATTGAGTTTTTTATTGTGAAAGTCGTATTTTTTTGTGCTTTTGTACATCTTTTAAACTGGTGTAACGAGTAGATGTCATATAAGACTCTGTTATTTTCTTCCGTTTTGAGGTTTGTTTTTTGCCATTGTGAAACTTTTTTTGTTTTTTGAACATTATTAAATTGAATTGAGGTAAAAATTGGAAATATTCACATTTTTGTAAATAATAGCAATAATTAAACAACCATTAAATAACCTTGTAATTTTTAGTTAAAATGCCTGGTCGTATTAGTGCAGTGTCAACTTGCAAAAGCAATCAGTTGACTTTAAGGAAAAATGGTGTTAATGATGTAATATTTCACTCTTTTCCTATTGCTAGGAATATGGTTTCCACAACTTTGCAAAAAAATGGATTCGTCGCTGCAAATGAGGAAATAAATTCACTCTCAAAAATGGATTTCATCAAATTAGAAACTGGTACAGATGAAATTGAAATTAGCGCAGACACGATTTTAGAGCAGACAATAGGATAAAATTGCAGTAGCTCATTTTCATCTAGTAGTTCTGATATTTCTACTTACATTCTTTTAACTTCAAATACAAATATTCCAGAAATAACAGAGGACTCTTTAGAATATACTGCTGGATAATTTGATAAAAAGCATTAAAATGATCTACCTGGTTTGAGCGATTATACTTATGAAATAGAAGCAGAAGATCATAATTATAATATACCTTCTTGGGTCCAGCAACGTTCATTGGGAGGTCTTATTAAATCCACAGATAATTGGTTAGAAAAAATTAAAAAGTGGAACAAACATCATTTAAATGGATTTAGAAAAGGGCCAGGAGTTGTAAAAATTCTTTCAAAAATAATTGCTGGGTTCGATTCTCATAACTATCACGTGACTGGAACGTAACAAGGGGCCGAGGGGTTATGCGGAGTCCCAAAGAGGGCCGATCGGTGATGCGGAGTACTAAGGGGGCCGAGGGCAAGGGGGCCACGCTCTTTGAAACTCTCCGATATTCGTTCCATCCTGCGTCGATGACGTCACACTCCCGTTTGACCCAGAAGCCTCTTTGTTAATATACTTTGTCGCCTCGAGATTTCTAGGTGTCTCTGATCCAAATTTAGTATCATTTTTGCAACAGTTTAGCCGAAGATTACTGTTTGTCGTCTAACAAATCCTTTCAACTACTGTTGTCTTTTTTTTCAGGCAAAAAGTTCTTCCCCATCACGTTCCTCGGCAGCATCCTATGGATAGCGGCTTACTCGTACCTGATGGTATGGTGGGCCAACATGGTGGGATACACCATAAGGATTCCCCCCGAGGTGATGGGGCTCACGTTTCTGGCTGCGGGCACCTCGATTCCGGACCTCATCACTTCCGTCATCGTGGCTAGGAAAGGTTTCGGCGACATGGCTGTTTCCTCTTCAGTCGGCAGTAACATTTTCGATGTTACGGTCGGGTAAGTCGGATAGATTTTGCCTTTTTTGGTTCTGAATTGGTTTGTTACATATATAAACTACGAAACATTTCTAGATCGCAAACCTAGATTCAACTATGGTAACTCTATGGTAACTCTCGAAAAATGTATGATTTTCATAGCCCCGAAGTAGAAAATAGCTATTTGTGATATGAGTATTGAAAGTAAGGTTTCTTTTTGTGAGTGAAAAAGTTTCACTAACAAAACAAAACTTACTTTTATCATAAATATCATACAAAGTTTTTTATACAACTTTACTGTTTTCATAATAAAATAGATGCTTTGCATAACGCCCTTCTGTTATCAATCATCAACTTTTTTTCTGAAACCCATTGGGTATAAACACGTTTGGGAAAATGCCCTCTACCATTGCTGAGTTTATGAAACTCCCAGAACCAAAGAAATATAGAGGTCACTGTTTCAGAAGGTCTTCTGCTTCTTTACTAGCAGAATCAGGAGCAAAGATAATGAATATTTAGAGGCACGGAGGATGGAAGTCTACAAAGTAGCTGAAGGTTACAATCGAACAAACAAGGTTGTTGAAACATTTCCTAAATATCTCAGTGACACATTCGAATACCAATTTGATTGAAATTGTACGTTAGTTTATTCATAATATGCGGATGGATGATACATTTTCAACTTTGCATGTTTTGGTAATGAAACCCGCTTGAAATAGTAGAACATTTTGTTTGGAAATTCTATCTGGCACTGGAAATTTGCAGTCGAAAAAGTTTTCATAAACATCATATATCACCCGCGTGTATTACATTCAGTAACGAAATCGCGTTCCAGTCCAACAAAGTTATTCAAATTTCAGAAACGAGGTTAACAGATATCACGAAATGAACATGGAGTTAGATAAATGGTCTCGCCGACAGATTTTTCCACGTGTGAAATATTTTCCATACCACTATCAACCGAATTAAAGATACAGCTGAAATATGGTAGAATAACAATACTCTTAAACCAAATAGAATGAAAACTCAAACCATTATCGTCTCCATTATCGTCTCCAAAACATAAGAGGTTTCAATTATCATTGTTCTCTTACGGTAAACTATATCAATATGCTGAAAAGCAGTGCCCGAGCACAACACATTTATGATCCAACACCAAACAGTACTGTTTCGATCCGCCATAGGAATCATCAGAGATGCTAGGCTGAACTACTAATGCTTCTTCATACGGGGAAATGTCATCGCTATCACAAGTTCAAAAAGTTGTTCTTTGTAAAATTGGCTGAATTTGTTAACATTTTGTGTTCTTGTAATATTCAGAACCGGATAACACAGAGTTTATTTGGATGCCAAATGACCGTCTAAAATCTCTAATCATCCCCGCATTCCCCGATTTCTATGACTCTTCAGTCAATCATAAAACTCAGTTAGTAAAAATTATCCAATGCGAACTGCCAATTCTACAGTCCACGTGGACTGGTTCGCAGCCGGTTGATTTCTATGTATTGGTTTTTTTGGCCTTTGAGAGCGCCGTGACCTTTAAGTATGCACAATACCGTTTACTTCGACTAAACGGTAAGTTATTTTCGTATGTGAATACATGGTATTATGTTTTCTTCTATTATTCATATTCAACTAACCAATTTCTTTTGATTTGGACAGGTCACTGGGAAACATCTCCTTTATATCGGCAGGTGTAGGCCAAGGCTCGCCGAACACACACCCTCTTATTGACGATAACTCTGAATACTCGCATAGGACATGCTGCTTGAAAAACCTGTATAATGTAACATGTACACATTGTGCACACAATGGGAAATGTTCCTCAATTTGTGTTATTACAGCAAATGCAAGTTTCAACAAAATAAAGATGAGTTCAATTCATGAGTTTTTCAAATTCACTTCGAAAAGTATCCAAATTGATGTTTCAAATGTTAGGTTCTAATTTTTAAAGGGATTTGTTTCTAATTCACATATTTGGCTTCAGCGCCTATATCAAGTTTAAGTAATTTATACGTAGGTATCTAGATATTCTACTTTAAAAAAAAATTATCTTTATCAATCAACAATTGAGGCAAAATATAAATTATAGTTCAATACCACCTCCACAAGCCACATAAACAACAGTTGTTTTGTTATTTATTTATATAGAGGAAGATAGGTTAGGTGCACAAAATGTCATATGTCACAGAATGTCTCGGAACTCGGAACATAAGTAAACAGAACAGCACGCCTCTGAAATATGTCATCTTTGTTTGTCTCATACAGATAACAGATTCATTGTCCTTTATTAGCTATAACCGATGTTGCCAAATGGTGAAATAGAAACGAATCCCTTTAAATGTTGAATGCATTATTTCATTCCTCTTTTTCGAGTATTTAAATAATTTTTTAAAGAAAAAGGTTGAAATGATAAGTTTAAAATGCGTTGTTTTAAAGCTCTTTTATGAAAACTACTTGATTTTCATCAGGAGAAACATTCCCCATTCCCACATGTGTCTCAACCAAGACTTCTCTTTCGTGGAATTTTGAAGAAAAAATATACCGAGCCCCTAAAAAGCAACAAATTCCAATTTTCCTCAGTCAACCAAATCCGACACCAGCAGAACACGTCGGATAGCGAGCAGCGCCACCGTCAAATTGTTTTCGTGATCATATGCATCAATTAAGCATTCATAATGGCGGTGAAGTCATGCACAGTGCTTGAAGTGGGGGCGGCTGACAGTTCATTAAAGTTTGCCGTCCACGATTTCGTTGCGATTCGAATGCAAATCGCCGCTCTAATCGGATAACCGCCACGCGAATCCGATGGCCTGATGAGTTCCACTTGTTTCGTTCAAATGTTTGATGAGTTTCTTGTCGGAAGTTGGAAGGCGGAATTTTTTCGTGGGTGCGGTTATCTAAACCCCACCGAAATTGAGTTTTAATTGTTTCGGTCGCGATGCTGATTACTTCATTTGTCCTAATTTGCCTTGAAAGATTGGGTGCTCGCTGAAAATAAAAAAAAAATAGGATGCTACACAGAACTGCACTTAGACCAGTATCCATTAATCAGCACATTTGATACGGTGGAAACAAATCATCTACTCCTGAAACTCACTTTTAATTTTCTAGAAAGACGAATGGCACGTCCATGGAAAGATCTGGTATATTTTCCGGACAAGGTTTTGGAATGTTTCTTTGAAAGTGGTTGACAATGTTTCAAGGTTAATTTCACTAGTTCGGAGTTTCAGGTCTACTGAATCTGATATGATTTGAATCGCCATTCTTAGACGTATTGGTGATGAGGACCTACACTAAATGGGAAACATCTGTATATCGAAAACCCACTCACACGGGACAGTATCTGAATTACGAATCCAACCACCATCAATCTACCAAAAGAGGAATCATCAAGACTCTAGAAGACCGTGCTTTCGGGCTTTGTAATAGGAAGGAAGGTCTCGAGAAGGAACTAGGCATCATCACAGAAGATCTTCAATGGAATGGTTACTCCAAAGTGATGATGGAACAGACTAGAAGAAGACAACAAGGGCTTCGCAAGGAAGAGAAGCCATCACAACCAGTACTTGCCCTTCCCTACGTCAGAAAATTGTCGAAAACGATGAGAAGAACTGGGTCCAAGTACAACATCAGAACCTGCTTCAGATCCGGACACACCATCCGTAAAGCCTATCGAATACCAGACCACCAAACGCGGACTGCGTCTCCAAGAATTGTATTAACCGGATATCCTGTGAGTGCAACAAATCCTTCATCGGTGGAACTTAGAGGTCATTGAAATTCCGCATTGCCAAACACAAGAGAAACACACAGCAAGGAGAAACCAGCAAATCGGGAATAGCAGGACATGGACTCATCAACATAATATCATGCGGTTCCAAGCTGAGATCATCCATAGGAAAAACAGTGGTTTAAAGGGAAATTCAAAGAAGCTGCATATATGTTGCCCAAGGATGCATCCATCCAAGCTATCGTATTGATACGCAACATATAGAATCCTGTGATCAAATCATCAAGGAAAGTAGAAGATTCGAGATCTAATAAACAAATTTAAAGAAATGATACTGAATTTGCATCAGTTTTTCAAGAGAAAATTAGGAGTTCCTCAAAGTTCTTATACAAACCTTCATTGTTCATAATGTATGCTTCAAATTCATCAACCTGTTCCAAGAATTACTCGTCTCATCTATACGCAAATCGAGAGATGACAATAGAAATGTTAAAGAGGTTCTTTCCAAACTTGTACGCTTATTATTCTTACCAAACTATAATAGTAATAATAATAATATCTCTGGCAAATCAACACCGCCGTGTATAACGTCGTCCAATCGCTTTCCGAATCGGAAGGACGAAATCCCGGCCTTGCGGTTCGGAAGATTGAACGGCGTGTACACAAGATGGAGGCTAAGATCACGTCGGCGAGACAACACGCGTCTCGTATCCAATCTGTGATGGATTACAGGGCGGCCAACAGGCCTTTCACGCCCGCAGTGCGGCGAATAGCCGCCAAT